TAGAGAAAGTGATTAACAAAAGGTGGGGATGGAATAGAGAAAGTGATTAACAAAAGGTGGGGATGGAATAGAGAAAGTGATTAACAAAAGGTGGGGATGGAATAGAGAAAGTGATTAACAGGGCCCCAACTGTGCTTTGGCCTTGATGCAACAGGGTGGAGGAGCTATTTCACAAGACAAAGAATTTCTACAAGCTCCTGAGCTCAGTGGCCACATTTCCTAAGTCAAGAGGTCTCACTGACAGAGCAAAGGGTACGTTTGTACGTGGAGACACAAACAAGAGACGCAGCCAGCGCTGTTCCCGCCTCTAAATCATCCGCACTGAAATCTAATTTATTTTTTGAGCTATGTCGTCGTCGTCGAGGAAGTCGGGCAGCATAATGAAAACAAACAAGCCTGCCAGGAAGTTACCTGAAGCCTCAGAAGCGTGCTGATGCACTTTAGCGGAATCCGTGCAGACTCTAACAAGGTTCTGGCGTGCAAGCGGGCTGACGCTCTTTAGCGGAACCTGTGCTGACGCTAACAAGGTTCTGGTGCGTACACACCATCCGGAGAACTGCAGAGCAAAGTATTTCCCCTCCATCATTTCCAAATACCCTTAATCACCCTAGGCTACAGCCACCCTGAGTCAATCCTCCCCAACCATGGCCTTGAAGTGTGCACAGGAAGCAGGCACAGAACCTATCAGGGAAACAGGTCCAAGAATTAAACAGGGAGACAAGGAGGACTGCTCTCACTGCTTTGCGATTTGGGAGAAGTCGCTTGGCAGTTGCTGCCTCCATTTCCACAGGTGAAACCAGGATGACACTTGTACCAACCTGACAGAGAGACTGAGGAGATCTGGAAGGCCTGTGAGGTGTCCCCTGCAGTCCATGGGCGTGGAGGGGGGGCGGGGGAGGTAATGCTATTGCGCAGATGCTCTTTAAACGGCCAAACAAATGTCTATTTTCTTACGAGTAAAACAGCCTCTTCAAGATTACAGTGGACAGAACTCCAGCCCCACCCCCGCCTCTGCCCCTGCCCCGCCCCCGAGAACTGTGGGTAGGAACCTATATCAAACTTAGTCATGGTTTTGACAACGGTAGCCCACTGGATTTCATTTAGAAATATTATTGTTGTTTTCTAATTTGGAAGACAGACTTTTAAAGAAAAATATATATATATATTCACAGTGGAAGGGACTGCCTTCGCACTGTCGGGCTGGATTCTACCTTCCCAGGCAGGAACGCAGGACTGGGCACCAGCCTGTCTAAGGGTGTCCTTTCTGAAAGAAGGGTGTTGCCCCGGGGGCCGGAGTAACTAACGAGAGCTGAGGGCAGGAGGGGGGTGTCATTATGTTGACTGACTTTGCGGGAATAACTGGCCCACATATTTGTTTTCTTGTAAAACTAGGGATTAAAGAATAGATCAAAGAATAGACGTCTCTCGGCTGTAGTGTGAGGCCATTTTCCCTTCAGCCAAGGAGATGAAAACCCTCAGATAATGGCTCTGGTGTTCCTTCGTTAAAAGGCCATCCTAGATCTAAAACCCAAACTGAATCCCAAGCCAGCAGCCATCCTCCTGCCTCCTGCTTCTTTTCTTTGAAGAGGTTAAATGAAGAGGCAGGGAAACAAAACACATCCCATGGGAGGAGGAAGAGATTAAAAAAAAAACCAGAAAGCAGAGCTGAAGGTGCTGCTCACATGTGAGCATCAGCACACAGGCAAGAAGGGGACTTCCAGTGCGCAGCTCTGCTCAGACAGTGGAGGCTGTGGCCCAGGTCCCCTGTGCGACTTCACACCAGGCCTGGGCAGTTAGCACATAAACAGATCAGCCTTGAAGGTCCTGTAGAGCCAGTGACTCATGAGGTCTGAGATGGTGCCTGCCAGCCCCGAGCTTTGAGAATCTCACTCGGGGTACAGGGATGACAAGGGCTGGGAATTCATTTTGCCCTCTTACAATAAGGGTGAGTGAGCTTCAGGCTGGGACACTGGCTGGGAAATGCTGCCACTGATCATGAGGTAATCACTTTTACTGGTACATGGCTGTGTGACACGTAGATGTTCTTAGGAACGCTCACATGCTTCTCTTAACCAATCATTGTTGTCACTTCTAAGGGCTGGGAGATGAGAAAGGGCAACAGAATCATGAGGATTCCAAATCTGGACTCTGGGGTGGAGTCACTGTTGCCAGCATGTGTCTCCCACGCTCGTGTTCTGAAGCAATGGACCTGCCTGCTTCTGGGTTTCCCCCTGGACACATATGAATATCTGTTTTCCCCCAATAAGGCCAATAAGGATCAGGGAACCTCTGAGTCCAAGGACCCTCAGTGGATTCTTTTTTTGGGGGTGGGGAGGGGTGTTTCAAAACATTGCTTAGCCGAGCATTTGCATTTACTTTTTTTTTTTTTTTTTTTGGTTTTTCGAGGTAGGGTTTCTCTGTGGCTTTGGAGGCTGTCCTGGAACTAGCTCATGTAGACCAGGCTGGTCTTGAACTCACAGAGATCTGCCTGCCTCTGCCTCCCAAGTGCTGGGATTAAAGATGTGCGCCACCCCTCCACCTCTCAGTGCATTCTTAATCCTACTGGGATGTCAGCATTTGGAAGGGTGTCAGGGATACCATGTTGCCTTCCAACCCCTCTCACTGTGTGTGAGAGAATCCAGAAACTTCTGAGAGTCAGATTTGAAATAGGACTTAACAGCATGAACTCCACTTAAACACACTTTCCCCCAAACCAATAGCCACAGAGCGCCGGATCCCCCTCCAGTAAGCTCCGGCTATGAACCCTGAGCCAGAATGGACCGTTGCGTGAATCAAACACACTGGCAAAGGACCTCACGCCATCCGCACTGGTTCTCACCAGCTCCTGAGCCAACACTAACGCCAGGGACACATGAGCACACTGCTTCCTCTCCCCATCCCACAGAGCTCACAGAGAGTTAACTCTCTCTTAAGAAGACACTAAAAGATGCTCTGGAGATAAGAATACTACAGCACTCCACCTCAAAGAGAATAAAAAGCACCTCCCGTTCTTCATTCAGAGGCAGGCACAGGGTTTTCTAGATTGGCAGATGGAACACAGATGGCAGGGCATTAAGCCAAATAAATGGACATTTTTTTTAATAGACCCTTTATACACCAGCCAGAGCTACAGGGACTTAATGTGGTGATGAGGCCGGGAAATTGGAGTAAATCAAATTCAACTAATATTGGCTGAGGGCTCCTGGGCCCCACACAGGACTGGACTGGTTCATCATCTCTCAGCGTTGATGGGGTTGTTAAATTTGAGAGACCCCAGGAATTCTTGTTGTAAAAGGTTATTTATTTTTATTTCATGTGCATTGATGTTTTGTCTGCATGCATGTCTGTCCGTGTGAGGGTGTCTCACCTAACAGACAGTTGTGAGCTGCCACTCGGGCACTGGGAATTGAACCCCGGGTCCTGCGGGAAGAGCAGTCGGTGCTCTCAACCGCTGAGCCCTCTCTCCAGCCTATCCTAAGACGCGTATAATCAGGTGGAAACAAAGGAACTTAGAAGTATTGCAGGGGCTTGGTGGGAGGGGGGGAGGTAGATATGAGATTGCTGGGGGAGGGGATGAGTATGACCATGTGCTTTACGCGCATGTATGAAATTAAAGTATCCAGGCATACGTGAATTCTTTTTAAAAAGGTGGGGGGCTGCCAAAGGGTGACATTTGAGGTTGACCTCTGACCTTCACACCCACGTGCATATGCACAAATGTGTACCTGCACAGGTAAGAACAGACACACACACACACACACACACACACACACGGTAGGAAGAGGAAGGGAGAGACTAACGGACAGACGGACGGACGGACGGACAGACAGACAGACAGACAGACAGACAGACAGAGAAGCGAGAGAACCAAAGGACAGCTGCTGTCCGTCAGAGCCCCAGGACCACAGCCACATCATGTGTGTTTGTTTGCAAAGGACCAGTGTGTCATCATGACGTCCCCTAGAATCCTTTTCTTAATTCCGGTAAATGTTGAGCCACTGTGGAGTCCACCAAGACCAGCTTCTTGGAGTGTGCCAATCATCCACAGCTTTTGTGCTCTCAGGGGTCTCCAGCGAGCCCAGCTACTACTCCCTTTTGCTACAGCTGGCTTTTTGTTTAAAATCAAAACGGAAACAAAACACCCACTGGGCCCACGAGCTGGCTCAGCAGGTAAGGGCACTGGCTGCCAAGGCTGACAGCTTCCGTTCTCTCCCCTGGATCCGTAAGGCAGAAGGAGAGAACAGACTCCTGCAAGTTGTCCCTGGCCCTGTTCAGTAAGTAAACAGACAAATGATGCCATGATTATAAAAATCCCAAGGCAGGGAAGAGGACTGCTCTCAGACTACGAGGTGACTGTGTGCAAATTCCCAACACTGGCCTAGCATAAAGCTGGCATTTCAGGTGGCTTTGCAAGGCATTTGTGTTGTTGAACTTAGAGGAGGAGAGTAGAAGTCACTGGGGTCACCTACATCCTTACCTTGGCTTCAACTCTGCCACGACACTGGTGAAGGGCTTGCGCTCCAGAGTTTGGCCCAGCATAGAAGGGTGGACATGCCTGGAGCCGACCCCACATGCCCACGATGCCACTAGGAACCCTCCAGACGCTCGGTGGAGGGATGCAGGACATTTAAGCAAATAGATGCCTGCTCCCCAGGACCAGAGTTTAATGAATATAATCAAAGCATAACGAGACTAATCTGAATGTGTAAATATTGCCAGTTTACTGACAATTGTTCAATTGCCTCCACAAATTTAAAGATTATAGCCTTTCCAATTATTGAAGGTATGCCGGTTAATCTTATGTCAACTTGACCCTAGCTGGAGTCATCAGAGAGGATCGAACCTCAACTGAGAAAACGCCTCCATGAGATCCAGCTATAGGGCATTTTCTTAATTAGTGAACAGTGGGGGAGGGTCTGGCCCATTGTAGGTGGTGCCATCTCTGGGCTGGTGGTCCTGGGTTCTATAAGAAAGCAGATTGAGCAAGCCATGAGTATCAACCCAGTAAGCTGCAGGTTCCTGACCTGCTTGAGTTCTTACTGTAGGGAGAGGTCTACATACCCGTAGCGCTGACTACACCCGTTTGGGTGTGTTCATAGGTACATAGGACATATTTGGGTTCCAGTTTCGGCCTGGAGAGCAGCGTGCGGACCTTTGGTTCTCCACTTTCTTGGCTTCTCATGTAAGTGATTTCTTCTTCAACAAAGTATCACAGGGCATCCCTATTTTGTGTATCTTAATATTCCCGCATTATCCTACCTTCACTGCTTTTGATGATGAACCGTTACATGGAACTGTGAGTGAAATAAAGCCCTTCCCTCCCCCAAGGTGCCTTGGGCACGGTGTTCCATCACAGCTAAGTTTCTACCCTGGCTAAGACAGAAGAGAAAAGGCGTCACCAAGGTAGAGACGTTCTTTGCTCATTACTTGTGGTTAAGTCAAAACATATCCCCATCCCTTCCCATCTTCACATAAAATAGAAATGAGATTTAAAAGCAAGGAGGAAAATATCTCTTTTATGTGACCAGGGTCATTCAACTCAAAAGCTAAGGCTGCTGGGGTCGCGGCTAAAGAGCCAGGATGTTGACTGCATGGAAGCCCTGTGGAAGAGCCATGTTCTCCTACTGCAAGTCACATGACCGGTGAGAGGCAAATCTGAGTCAGCGTCATTAGCGCCTAACAAGAAATTATAACCCACTTAAATTTCATTTTCCAGTACTCCCATAAGGACCTAAAACTAAGTAAAATTTCTCTGCCACAGTTCTTACAAAACACGTGCTTGCTTTTTCTAGTTCTCTAGAAGTTTTTTTTTTTAAGTTTTATTTTCTGGGGTTTTGTTGCGTGTCTACATTCCCATGGTCATCAAAATCACCATGAGCAAAACTGTGCCCTAGAAGACTAAAAGACAAGACGAGCCAGAACCTGGAAGGCAGATGCCCTTTAAGAGAAACCAGAGTCTCCTGGGGCAAACGAGCCTCAAGAGAATTAGATGGTAGTATATGGCTTTATGCGGTAAAGTTAACATATGGCAATGAATAACGAAGAATTTGCAAGGTAGGAAAGCCACTACGAGTTACAAGGTTTAAGTGTGAACCTTGCAGATAGTGGCATTCAATAACTGTTGGCTTAATATTGCAGGGCATAACATTCCTATCATTTTACAACTTAGAAGGTGGTTTGACTTAGAGAATGTGGGACTAGAGCCACGCAAAACTGCTGACGCTCGCAGTTCTATAATTGGCTGGCTGCTCTCTCTGACCCCTGCCTTAATCAGTTCAATTCAATAAACACGGATTAAGTTTGAGGTGAGTTATGTCTAGATATGACAGATATAACACATAACCATCCATACTAGGTCATTGGAGGTGTCCGGGCATCCCATCCACATCCTGTCCCTTAGAGCACTGGCATTCTTGGCCCCTATCATAATCCCTGCACCTAAAGAGGTTTTTCCAAGGATGGAAATTTTTACTGGGACATCAGTACCATGTTCTGTGTCCCACCATAAGAATAATAGCACATGAGAGCTGGAGAGATGGCTCAGTGGTTAAGAGCACTGGCTGCTCTTCCAAAGGACCAAGGTTCAGTTCTCAGTACCCGCATGGCGGCTCACAACTGCCTGTAACTCAAGTTCCAGTGGATCCGACTCCCTCACAAAGACATGCAAGGTCAAACATCAAGGCAAACAAAAATTTAAAAAAAAAGTAACAGCACACGGCTCTATGTCATATCATCTATCCCATGTGAAAAGCTAAGTAGGTCTTTCTGAGGTCCGAGCACGACATCCCGACACCATGATAACATGAAATCTCACCAACAGATCTTCCTAGTTTATTATTTTCTAATTTAGTCTCCTCCAATAAAGATGATTAATTGATTGCACGTGTAGAGCATGCTTGGGGGTATTACCAAGGTCACAAAGATAAAGAGCTAAGTGTCTTGAACTTGGAATGACTTAGAGCTAACACAATGTGAGGCAGAATGGGATCAGTCTAAGAAATGTAGGCAACAACCCTATGAACACTCTACTGTGTGGTCACAATACGGATAGAATTTTAAACCACATGACGACACCCAGTAAAAGCTCAACAAGTCCATACAGATGAAAAACTTTCCATGAAGCTGGACGTGATAACTCATGCCTATTATCCTCAAACCTGGGAGGGTGAGGCAGGAGGATTTCTGTGAATTCAAAACCAGTCTGGATTGTGTAGTGAGTTCCACGTTAACCGAAGCCACAGAACAAGACTCTGTCAGAAAACAATGCAAAAATGATAATAATTATCATTGTTTCCACACGAATTCATTCACATTACCACAAATCCCAGGAGGATTTGAGTACTGGATAAAGTATGGTTTCTGGCCTTCTCATCTAGCAATATCCTTGCAGTGTGTAAAACCAGCCTGTACCTGGAGAGGAAGGGCACTCCCTCCACACGGCTGCCCTGCTCCAGGAGCCCAGGGTGGAAACCCTGTAATGGGGAGACCCCCAGCCTCCTCTGTGTTCCTGTCTATGACTCATGACCACGCCTCCAGGGAGCACCTGGCTGCCTGAAGCATGGGGAGATCTGGAGGAGCAGAGTGCCCCATGAGACTCAGTCTTCCCTGGGAGCTCCAGGAAGTTAGAGAAGGGACTTTGGATAGAAAGGAAGGAAAACAAAACTGTGTGGGTGACTTTCAGGAAGAATGGCAAGCAGGAGGGGAGGAAAAGCCCACTGAAGGAAAAAGGAAAGCCAGCTGACAGACGCACTGCCCACCCCAAACGTGAGCAAGTCCATCCACTTTACCTAAAGCCTTTGGGGCAGGAGAGCAGGGCGGGGGATGGCCCAGTGGGTTGAGGTGATTGCCCTAAGCCTGAAAACCTGACTTCAGTCTTGGAAAACACATGGTAAAGGAAGAGAACCAAGTCCCCCCAAATTCCCTCTCATTTCCACATGTGTGTATGAGTACTCACACATGCACTCGCTCCTCTCTCTCTCCCTCTCTCTCTCTCTCTCCCTCTCTCTCTCTCTCTCTCTCTCTCTCTCTCTCTCTCTCTCTCTCTCTCTCTCCTTCTCCTTCTCCTTCCCCTTCCCCCTCTCTCTCCACATTGAATACAGAACCTGAGACTAACTTCTGAGACAAAGGGTCTCCAGAGATGGGGTGTCAATCACTCTGCCCACAGTTCTGCTCTCTCAGCCTTGGCAGAGCAGGGACTTCTCAGCAGCGTTGGGGCCCCAGCTTAGGCCTACCACAGCAGCCAGACAAGGCACAGAGAAATGCCACAATGACATGGTTTACAAAGAGTGAGGGCTGCAGGAGAGGCCCTCGTCAGGCTGGCTTTGCCTGCCAGGATCCTGGGAAATGAAAAGCCCTTGTCTGAAATTTGTTCCAGCAGTTTCTGTCATCGCTTCAGGCCTGTTGGCCTCCGACTCCCATGCTCAGCATCTCTCCTTTCACGCATGGGGCTCCACTTAGGAGCCTGCAGCACTCCCACAGCTCTCTGCTTCTGGTACCTGACAGGGCAGTGTTGCTCGCCTATAGTGCTGTTCAAGAGTCAAGCCGTCCACTCTGGGGCACAGAAAAGAGGTCATCTCAGTCTCCGACTGCTTCTAACCCACAGAGGGCATAATGCAATCTTCTCCCTCATAATGTTCTTGGTCTAATGTACCTAAGTACCCTACTGAATATTGTCTACTCTTAGGCTAAGATATAACAGTAGTAACCAAAGAATCTGTTTCTATCAACCCAAGAACTACAGATTCTCAAACTCAAGGGCAGCACCATCATTAAAGCCACACGAGCACTAGACTTGGGAGCCAGGCCCTGGGGTCACAACTTCCCCAAAGCTAGATGAGCCAAGACCAGACCAGAGTCAATGGTCCACTATACACTGAGAAGTTATGTTATATCCGTGGTTTGCAGTTTCACCAATTACAGAAGGTGATACTAGCGCAACAAAAAATCTAGAAATGGTTATTGAATGGCTGTCTGCTATATACAGGAATCATTCTAAAGACCAGTGGTGTCTTTATCAACAAGGCAGACACAGCCACTGCCCTGACGCAACTCAAGTAACCGTGAGCCACTCTTAAACATGTGAACATGCACTTGCAAACTAGGAGTTTCGAAGTCTGAGAGCAGCGTGCTTAGAAAGGAATTAGGGACACATCTCTAGGGGAACGCACGCAAAGATGGTGGGAGGGAGGGAAGGCTGGAGCAATGGCGGGTCAAGTGAGGGACCCTTGTGTTGTGTTCAGTCCACCACACATCTTGATTTTATCCTGGCTGGGTGTGAAGGATTTGTTTGCCCAGCAGAACAAAATTCGGTTTGCGTGCTGGCTAGTTTTATGTCAACTTGACACAGCTATAGTCATCTGAGAGGAAGGAATCTCAATTGGGAAGACGTCTCTCCATGAGGTCAGGCAGGCCTGTAGGGCATTTTCTTTATTGATTGATGGGGGAGGGCCCAGCCCATTGGGGTAGTGACATTCCTGGGCTGGTGGTCCTGGGTTCTGTAAGAAAGCAGGCTGAGCAATCCAAGGAAAGCAAGCCAGTAAGCAGCACCCTCCACGACCTCTGCATCAGGTCCTCCGGATCCCCACCACCAACTTCCTTCAGTGAGGGACTAAGACGTGGAAGCCAAATAACCCTTGTCCTCCCCAACTTACTTTTGGTCACAGTGTTGCATCACAGCGGCAGTAACTTGGACACTTCGTAAACCAGGTGACCTCTGAGAACGTAGCTAGTTTAGTTCTTCTGCTCCAGAAACTGCTGAGGAGAAATTCTGAAGGAGGCCCCATGCTCGGTGGGCCACGTGACTGACAGAGCGTTTCTAGAAAATGATACCCTCAGGGCCACCACCCCACGGCAAGCACGTGCCACTTAAAACACGGCTCAGGTAAACACGCGAGGTCCAGAGGAGGCAAGGAGGGCCTCTACAGCCCCGAGCGTTCTGCAGATGGCAGGCTAAAACCACTTCAGGGCCCCCCTCTTTATCAACAAAAACTGGCCTGACTCGTCAAGAAAAGACAGCGGAGTTTCCGAGGCGTTACAAAGACACACAAAGCCAAGGGCAACTTAGGCATCCCAGGCACAAGGACGTCATCGCTTGATGCTGGAAAGACATCACCTGTGTCCCCGAACGGCTGCTTGTCTTTTTTCTCCCAGGGGTTCAACATTCAGGGTAAAGACAGTAGAAAAGGGCAGAGTGGACCATTGAAACGTCCGTTTCCCCAAGACAGCCTTTGAGAGCTGTGATAGGAAAGGCAGGGGGTTTGGGGGAGGGATGGAGAGACACTCGACCCCAGCTCTGCCGCCCCTGGCTGAGTTTCCTTTTCTGTCAACCAGAGATAACGCCAACCTCTCGTGGGGAGGTGGGTCTTTGTGACTTAAAAGAGACGGAGTCCGAAGCACAGGGGCAAAAACAAAACAAAACTCAAAAACAAAAGTCAGCCCCCGCAAACACACAAAAGAGTAACAAAGTACAGGTTTGGAAGGCGGCCCAAGCTTGGAAAGCACCTGGGTGCTTGCTGCCAGGATGCTCTCACAGACTGGCCACTGAGAGGGACGAGCAGAGAGAGCCAGAACACCCCCGCAAGACACCGTATGCTCTATCTCACCAGTGTCCAAGACCATGGACCTCGAGCCCCCAAGGAGAAGGTCCTACGGACATACTGGGACACTGTCCCTCTTCCCCAGGGTCTGTACTGCTCCAGAGAGAGCAGCCCAGACAGACTGACCACAGGAAGGACCTGTTTTTAAGAGCCTGCACATTGCCACCACCCTTGGACCTGCTCACAGGCACACAACCTCCCTCTGGTGAGGTCTCGCCGACACCCCAGCCTGTATCTTACACGACAAAGGCATCTGTGGCTGCTTCTGTCTTTCTGATTAACATCCCCACCATGCCCATCAGTGCTGAGCTGGGCAGGAGCCTCAGAAGGATACCTTCTGTAAGGGCTGTGGTCAGGAGGACAGGTCTCCCCCTCCCCAGAGCGGGTCTCTCTACTGAAGGTACCTGAGCTGCTCTGTTATCAACACCGGGTGCTCCCTGGCAAGCCCTTGACCTTTGCTGACAGCCTGGACTCTACCCTGACACGGAAGAACCCACAGATGGTAGGACTTGCAGACGCTCAGGATCTGCACACAAAGTGCCCTCCCTGGGAGGGAGCAATGAGAGAAGCAGCTTGACGGAGCCTCCCCCCACCCCTGCAGGGCAGGCAGTGACTAGAACGGGAAGTCCACTGTTGGGAAG